TCTTTTCCCCCCCCCCCTTTCCCCCCCCCCTTTTTTTTAGAAAATGGTTTTTGCCCTAAATTTTATTGTACCTCCACTCCATTTTTAACAAATCTGTTTAATATGACGTCATTTTGTAATAAATAGAGGATTTGTTTTCAAAGATTCATGTGATCCCCCCCCCCCTCCTCCACAGTCCCTCCTCCACCTTTTTCCCCCCCCCCCCCCCCCCCCCCCCCAATCTCGACTGGTGTTTATTTATATTGGCGCTTAAAAGGAAAAGCCACAGAAAAAAGAAATATAAACATTGAAGCATTTGCTCTATCAATCCCATGTACGATTTTTCTTCCCTTAATCTTGTTTTGAAGAACATAAACTAATACATTGATGTTAAAACATCTGTGTTCATCCCATCTCTCAATCAACTCGCAACCTTCAGATCAATTATTCCAACTTTTATTAGCCATTTGTTTTCTTTTTTCTACTGTGTTAAATAGCGAGGAACATTTTACACAGTCTTTGCCGTCTATAGGCAATCAATAAAGATGAATAAGGTTTAGATGGATATTATCTTTTTTGCTTTTATTCCTTTTGATTTGTGGTTATATTAAGAATCAAACAGTGATTGACATTTAGAAATCGTCGACAGCCGCTTAATTGGTAGGCTGCAACTGAATAATCTTTTTTCTGATTGAAATTGTGGGAGTAAGGAATTGACATTTCTATAAGTATCTGGACAGCAGAAAAATAACATTTTTATGAGTTATTTGTTCTCTACTGCAACCAGTAGACATTACCAATTCTGAACATATAGATGAGAGGGAGGGGGGGGTGCACTGTAGAGAATTTCAAATCTACCATCCATGTAAAGAGTTCTGAACTCTCATTGCATCCCACGTACAGCCCACGACTTAGGTTAATGTGGTTGTAATAACAATATTGAATTGAAATTACGAAAGCGAAGGCCAGGGGTAAAATTCAATTACTGTTAAATGTGCAGAAAAAAGTCGCCAAAAAAATATTATGTATAAGTCTTTTACGCCTTAGGGTGCACTTACAAATAAATCGATGAAGTATATACATTCACTTATTAATCTTGTTAAGTATTGTTACATTAAGCGAAGTATAGAAAGAGTTGAATAAAATTCCTTATTGGATCTGCCTTCGGTTTGCTTATATATTTTCCAGAGTCAATTAAAGAAATATTTTTTTAAACATCATTTGACACTCAATAAAATTTCTTTGACAATGAGGACCGCAGGGGCGTATTCATTTCACTGATATATTTTTTCTTCTATAAAGTAATCTGGTTGATTAAATGAAATATTTCCTATGGGGATATCTCTCAAATACAGACAAGAACAAATCTAGACAAGGACGTATATTGCGTTCGGTATTCGTGTATTACATGAACCTTTATTAGCCTTGTTTATTTCCTCTTTCCAGATAATACATCATCAATGTGGCTATAATGAAGAAATTGTCTGTGATCACGCTAATTCTGGCTTTGTCGGTCGTTGCAAACGTTGGACTGATTGCATTCGTTATCTGGTTAGCCACGCATAAAGATGAAACAATTCCGACAATTTGTGGCGATGAAGAACCTAATCCTAAGCTTTTTAAAGACGCTACTTACCAAAATATCTTTGAAGATTTGAATTCATCGGAAATTAACGAAGTATTGGATTACTTATATTCCCAATCAGAATTAAAGTTGGTCAAACCAGATAAAGCTAACTTGACAACGAATTATATCATAGGACTAGAACTACATGTTCCGAACAAATCGCAAGCACTTAAATTTCTCGATGGAAATGGTCGTGAGATACCCCCAGCTCGAGAGGCGAAGGCATACCTGTTTCTGCCACAGAATGACCCACCCGTTGTTGAAGAGTATATCGTTGCTCCCATACCACGACCAACAAGATACTATCATAATCCAAGAAGAATCAAAGATATCCCATATAGAGTTCGACAATTCAGCAACACAGAGATGGTCGTAGCGGTCAACTTACTTCGAAAAGAAGTTGCTACCAAGGTCGAAAATATGTTGAAGCGAAGTTACGGCGCTTCGTTTATCTGCAAGAAGAACTGTCTCACGTTTACAGCATCGGCCGTCTCTTCAGCGTTTTCGAAGGAGAGAAAGTTGTGGATTACGTCTTTGTATCAACTAGAATTCGCAACACTTCATCCAGTTGGTTTTCAAATTCTTATTAATATGGACGGCATCAATGCCTCAAATTGGAAAATTGAAAAACTTTGGTATGCAAATAAAATGTTTTCATCGGTAGAAGAATTAGTCCGGAAATACGAAAATAACGAAATCCCAAAAGCATTGATCAGACCACCAAAAGCATCCCCAGGAGAAACATCTGTTCCGGGCTCACTGAATATACGGGGTAAAAGATTCCCTGATGTACCAACATCAGGTCCTAAACAATATGAACCCCAAGGACATCGCTATAGAGTTAGAAATCAACATGTGGATTATCTTCAATGGGAATTCAATTTTAGGATGTCATATGCATCAGGGATTCAGTTGTACGACATAAAGTTTCAAAATGAGAGGATTATGTATGAGTTGAGTATGCAGGAAATAATTGTGATTTATGCTGGAGCAACCCCACATGGTCTTTATGCTCAGTTATCGGACAGTGCTTTTGGTATTGGTAATCGCGCTCATGGTATGATGCCGGGTGTCGATTGTCCGGAACATGCCACTTTTGTGGATTCTGTTATCTACAACGAAGACAATCTTACGCCTAAAACGTATCCTAACGCAATTTGTGTATTTGAACATAACACGGCGTTACCTTTACGTCGTCATCGCTCTGGAAGTTCCCGAAGTGGATTCTTTAATTCGGGATTAGTAGATTATGTTCTTATTCTCCGAACTATGTTTGTAATGTTTAATTATGACTACATCATTGATTTTGTATTTCATCAAAACGGTGCTATTGACGTTAAAGTGCATTCGACTGGGTTCATTCTGTCCAGTTTGTATTATCATGAAGAAGGAGCTTATGGGTTTCGTGTTTCGGAATCGTCTATTGCCCCTGTTCATCATCATTTATTCAGTTTTAAGGCAGATATGGATATACTCGGAACCAAAAATCGATACATGACTTTGGATACAGAGGTAGAAAATCGAACCAGGAAATGGTATGAAAATGGTGAATACCATACTCAACTGACTTTTAAACGCAATTTAAAATCTACTGAACAAAAGGCAGCATATAAATACAATTTTAATACCCCGAAATATCATTTAATCATAAACAATGACAAACTAAACAAATACTCAGAACCCAGAGGATATCGAATTCTTGGGAAAGGATTCAGTAAGCAAATTTTACCAGAAAACCACGGTTTCGAACGAACTATAACGTGGTCGAGATATCAAATGTGTGTAACGAAACGGAAAGATAGTGAAGATACTAGCAGTTCAATGTATTCAATGTTTGATAGTGGTGATCCTGTAGTCGATTTTGTTTCCTATATAAATGATAATGAGAATATTGTAGATGAGGTAAGTAGTATTTGATAACATTCTGTATGAATAACTAAACTAACCTGTAGGGTAAGAATTCAGTTTCAGATGTTTCAGATATATTTTCTGAAGGTTTGCAAAATGTCAAAGTTTCCAACTTCTCATTAAATCTGGTGATTATTACCAACACCAAATAATGCACGAATCTTTTTAACTTTTTGTCCTGAACGCGATATGATCAAAAAATTTTTGTCGATAGGTGGAAAGGGGTGGGTGTAAAGTTACTTTTTCGCTTTATTGTAGTCATGATAACGTCTTAACAATCATAGTATGGTGTGACGCTGTAGCTTGCGATATCTACCATATTATATTATAGTGTGACGCTGTAGCCTACGATATCTCCCATTTTATATCATAGTGTGGCGCTGTAGCTTGCTATATCTCCCATATTATATTATAGTGTGGCGCTGTAGCCTACGATATCTCCCATTTTATATCATAGTGTGGCGCTGTAGCTTGAGATATTTCCCATATCATATTATGGTGAGACGCTGTAGCTTGCGATATCTCCCATATCATATTATGGTGTGACGATGCAGCTTACAAAATCACCCATATTTTATTATGGTGTGACGCTGTAGCTTGCGATATCTCCCATATCATATTATAGTGTGACGTTGTAGCTTGCGATATCTCCCATATTATATTATGGTGTGACGATGCAGCTTGCTATATCTCCCATATCATATTATGGTGTGACGCTGTAGCTTGCGATATCTCCCATATCATATTATTTTGTGGCGCTGTAACTTGCGATATCTCCCATATTGTATTATATTGTGACGGTGTAGCCTATGATATCTCCCATTTTATAGCATGGTGTGGCGCTATAGCTTGCAATATCTCGCATAATATATTATGGTGTGACGCTGTAGCTTGCAATTTCTCTCATATCATATTATGGTGTGACGCTATAGCTTGCAATATCTCCCATATTATATTATGGTGTGGCGCTGTAGCTTGCAATATCTCGCATAATATATTATGGTGTGACGCTGTAGCTTGCAATTTCTCTCATATCATATTATGGTGTGACGCTATAGCTTGCAATATCTCCCATATTATATTATGGTGTGGCGCTGTAGCTTGCAATTTCTTCCATATCATATTATGATGTGACGGTGTAGCTTGCAATATCTCCCATATCATATTATGGTGTGACGCTGTAGCTTGCAATTTCTCTCACATCATATTATGGTGTGACACTGAAGAGGAAGTTTAACAAAGCGCACAATTAAGTATATATGATATCGATTGGAAGTATATACTGAACTTCAAGATAACTTAAGAGTACACTTTAAGCATCTCAGCTTAGACAAGGAATATACACGAATTCGTTTTCACAGATTGCATGCAACTTCGCAAGTGCGAGTTTGCCTGTAAACTAGGACCCTCTTCTAACAACATAACCTATACTAAATTCTAGTCTCTGCTGGAAACCCTAATTGAAGCTGTATCACATTTTTAACACAATATCTCTTCTTAATAAAAAATAAATCTCTTCCAAATAGGTTTGATATTTTTAGTCTGAAAAAACGCATGCTTATTAGTAACCTGATATCGATGCTAATTTCTCTTCAATTAAAGAATAAGCTGGTAGTTTTAAAGGTGAAAACCTCTTTGATTATTTGAATAATAAACTAATACTCCCTTTTCAACTCCAATTTATACTTCATTGATCTATTCAGTAAATCTATCTTTTCGTTATTTGAATGTACAAAATTCATTAATACTGGACATAACCAAACAAAACAGCGCGCCCTGCCTTGTCATTTGAAATGTAGTTTCGAATGTTGAAAGCTTGACAAAAATTTTCTTTAATAAAATGTCGATGAAAAATTGATGTTTAAAGTAAATTTTTGTAAACTTTGGACGGCGTTCAAGGCAGTATTGTCTTTATAGGGATTCTTTAACTTTTATTATACGGGCATTTTACGTTTGACTATAGTCTAACCTCTTTTAACAGCGATTTGATTGGCGTATATTACATCCTTTGATGCAAATCGCTCAAAATTACACTAAACACAATTTAAAAAAAGAATCTGGTCAGATCATTCTTAAAAGAAACCGCACCCATCCTGGATTTGCCCGAAACATAGAGCTCGCAAACCAAATGTACGTAGGCCCAATGTTAGATTCTATAGTACTAGTAGAAGCTGACTGTGACGAACATGCATCATACAACAGTTACAAGGATAAGATTTGTGTAGTCGATAAATAGTCTATTGGTAATCAATCTTTGATTCTTTATGTTAAGATGGATGGTATAAGCTGAGTTTAATGACGTTAGCATGTAAGAATGCAACAGACGAGAAAATTCCTATGAAGTTCGTTATCATATAGTTTCTGATTTCTATTTTCAGGATTTAGTTGCTTGGCTTAGTCTTGGCATGCATCATATACCTCATACAGAAGACGTACCCAATACTGCCACCACCGGAAATGAGATGTCAATATCTTTCTTACCTTTTAACTATTTTACTGAAGATCCGTCGATGGGATCACGCGATGCTGTTCGAGTTGATTCGAAAATCAAGTCAAAGGGTCAAAAGGCAGACGTGACTATTGAACGCTATGGAACTCCTCATAAATTTTCTTGCTTAGCCAAACAATATGATTTTCAAAAGATTGTTAATAATGCTTCGGTTCTATTTCAACAACCTTGAAGTCAGTGTGATGACTATTATTAAACAGGAATAGATTGTAGCATGATTGAGATTTCTTTTAGCGTTTAGATGCCTTCCACTGACGTCACGAAAGTTTGATAGGACTTTGTTGTTCAATGACACAATGCTATAATATATTCATTCAAGTATAGATCCAAGGCTAAGTAGATCTGGAAATGGTACGCCAAGCCAGATTGGTTTCGAATATTGTTCGTCAGAAAACAACCGGAAGTATCCTTTTGCAGTTTGTGGTACGGCTAAGCTCTTTGCTAGAAGTATCCACCGAAACATCATTTGGATCCCTTTGAGCTTGGCATGCATGCAAAAGACATTAATTAGTACACAGTCGTTGTATGCATCCGTGTTGGATTATGTTAATGGATAATACATTGACTATTTATGAGAGAAAACTTTCAGATGGAATTAAATCTTTGACTGTTCGACCTTAAAATACAATCAAATGCAATTGTATCAATGATATATTATAACTAGATTTTTTTTTTTACAAAAAAACGGAGTGTTTTTTTAATCAGATGCTTTACTCTCTGAAAGTGTTAAAATGTGTTCAGTTGGCAACAACGTGGGTAAGATCAGGTCACATGTTAAAATGCAATCTTTTTTTAGCGCATCAATGCCTGACTAGCCTACATTGATTCATTTGTTTTTCAGGCAAATGAATTGGCATCATTAACTAGACATTCTGATAGAGTAGTGTCTGTAGCTAGTGGTGTTTCTGGGAATAAGTAGGTGGAGGGGCCAAATAATTGTCGAGGGGGTCAAACAGCACCAGACATGTAAAAAATGAATGAAATTTAAAATTGGGCCTGGCTAGCCTCATTATTGTGAAGGGGGGGGGGGATTATTAGCGGATAAACGGTCATCTGTCATCCAAATTTACGTATGTATTAGGAGGGGCCACCGCCAATTTTTTTGGAATCCATTCTAGGGAGTGTCAGAAATCTTAACTTTGATGTTGAATTTTTATTATCGTTACCTGCATACATTATCAAGATATAAATAAATAACAAAATATCACAGTTTCGTAAAATAAGATATGGTTATATTACAATCTAAAAATGGTCAATTGACAAACCAAAATTTCATTCCGACCAACAGAATATGTTGTATAGCTTTTACACTATAAATACCTATTGATATGGGTTCAACAAGGAACAAGAACATGACCCTCTTGGCATCTTCACAATGTCAAGCTTGTACAAACTTTGTCTTTTATCTTGACTGCAATAGCCACCTTTGGTATATGCAGCAATCTGATTGGATTGTACACTATCAGAGCCCCTCAACTGAAAGTTTGTAAGCCATACTGTTCACAGTCTTAATGTCAAGGGTTCTGATTGGCTGTTTTCTTTAGAGTACTGTCCAATCACTGCATCGCGTGATACAAGAATACAGGCAATTGCAGTCAAGATATTAGACACAGTACATAATAACTTGATGTCATGAAGATGTCCTTTTATATAAACAGCTTGATTACTGGGTTAAAGACCAACCCAACTACAGTAGTTGGAAATAAAATTGCTTCAGTTGAATTTCAGTAAAAGCTTGGACGGTGGACTGCTGGACTAATCAGAACTGTTTAGTAGTGGGAAGCCACAGATCTTTGTCTAGCCTCCTCTAACATTTTACAGCTTATAGCTGTTCTAATAACAGACATTCTTTCAGCAGCGGGGAAAAACTTTCTGACAAAGAAAATGTGAATTTGATGTGTCCAGAAATTGAATCTTCTGGTTGCTTCATCTAACTCTTCTTCTTCCTCATTTTCACCATCACCTGAAATAAAAATGACCCTTTGAGTTTCATTCTTGACCACTCTCAGCGAAAAAGTATCTCTGAATTTGAGCTTCATCAATGAGTAGCAACTGCCCAGTACCTCAAAATAAAGATAAGATTTTCTAAACACAGACCCATCAATTTGCCCTCGACTAAATCTTCCAAAATGAAATGAAATGAAATGAAATGAATGGAGTTTTACTTCCTACTTTTCTGCACCTTGTGGGTTAATGAAGACGGGACTAAATCTTCCAAGAACTTACTGATTCTATCTGTATCATCTATAGCGATTTCTGTATGCCCACCAATAGACACTGTACTCTGTATTAATTGAGCATTATCTTCTGTACCTGTTGTTTGAGTGCTCACAAATGATGCAGATTTTTGTTGTTCTCCTAAATCTTGGATGTCTATAAAAGATGAACACAAAACATATCATTTGCAGCATGCTCACAGACTATGCAAAGGTTCAAAAGAACAGATACCAAGTGGCAAAAGGTAGTTCAACCAATCATAATGTACCATAACTTCATAAGCATCTTCCATAATCCTTAGATGTTGGGGAAACGTCTGTCTGCATAAAAAATCTAATTATGACCAATTTTGTCGCAAGTATGATATTTCTACTTATGGCTAATTCTTATTATCAGATTTTTTTTTTATCAACAGGACTCTGACCCAGTAATGTTTTCTTGACAGTCTGAATTGAAGAATACAAATTAAATGTGTGTGTATACCTTTTGAACTGTCTTGTAGACCTTGAATACCAGTATCTGATATCAGGTTGTTGGAAGATGCTTGATTCTAAAATAAAAATTTACATACTTTAATCAAACCAGAGTAACCTAACTCAAGCAACAGTAATAAAACACCTTTATAGTATCAGTTTCTTATCTATACAAAAATGTCAGTATTCAAAATTCATACAATAAGAGATATTAAAACAGTGAAGCAAGCCATTCAAGATGTTCAATGACCAATCATTGGACCAGCATTTTGGACCAGGAAGTTCTAATGAATTGACAAACTTGGGTGCAGACATTGTCTATCCACACAGAGAGATGGGAGTATAAGTATCCTACTTCAAGTGTCTTATGTGAGTTCTCGGCTGTTTTATTTGTGGTCGCTGCTGATGATTGAGCTCTTGTTGGTGTTCCCATACCACTAGAATTATCAAGATTGGGTGTTGCTTGTGCTGATTCCACACCATCTTCAACACCAGCCTATAAAACAGAGACATACATGGTTGTCAACTAATTGACAAGGAAATGATGATTCATAAAACCAACTGCAGTAGAAAGGAGAAGATAACTCACATGACTTGTCAACCTAGATGGAGCTACTGGTATAGAGTACATGCTTTGATCTTGTGTCAAAGCTGTACTTGGTCGAGGTGTTGCAGGATCTTTAACTACTGCTTCTGTTACAAATATCTCAGCACAGCCAATTAATGCTTCAAAAAACTCCAAGAAAGTCATCTGCAACATAGAGGTATGTTAAGTAAATTAGATAACAATTTCATTTCGTTTTTATTTTTTTTGTCGGTCTCCAGTGTAATCTTACAAGAATCATACCAAAGGTCACGTAAGAGGATAGCGAAAGCCTGTTCCCTAATCCTATTATGTAAATAAATATTGTTTATACAGAAAAAATGGTGACGTTTCAAGCTATTTACAACAGACAATCACACCCCGTTTTCCCACCAATCATTGGCAGTCTTATAATGTCATTGGTCTTATTGCTCTACTTTGGGTTGCGCTATGCTACAATTCATAGTTAATATTTAGACACAGATTCCACATGACACTCTGTAGTCCTGTTGTAATATCTTACCTCTAGTTCTAGATTATAACATCCTTCAGAATCATCAACACTAGGATCATCTGATGACAATACTCTTATTACTGCTTGTGGATCTAAATCATTGTTTATCAACTTTAAATCCTACAATCAATAAAAGCATTGAATATATAATTAAATGATACTTTTCATCGTAACATCTATACTTTTCATTGTAACATCTATATTTTTCATTGTAACATCTATACTTTTCATTGTAACATTTATACTTTTCATTGTAACATTTATACTTTTCATTGTAACATTTATACTTTTCATTGTAACATCTATACTTTTCATTATAACATCTATACTTTTCATTGTAACATTTATACTTTTCATTGTAACATTTATACTTTTCATTGTAACATCTATACTTTTCATTATAACATCTATACTTTTCATTGTAACATTTATACTTTTCATTGTAACATCTATACTTTTCATTGTAACATCTATACTTTTCATTATGACATCTATACTCTTCATTGTAACATTTATACTTTTCATTGTAACATCTATACTTTTCATTGTAACATTTATACTTTTCAAAGGAACATCAATACTTTTTATTGTCATAATTATTTCTACTACTCACTGAAACAATTCGACTTTTCATCTTAACATTTATTATTTTTATTTCAGTTTATCCTAACATTTAATACTTTACTTTGTAACATATATGCTGTCCATTGAAAGATTTATACTTTTCAATAAAAGATTTAATAATTTGCATTGGAACATAATATACTTTACATATGAATATAAATGCTTTTCATACAAACATTTGATGTTTTTCATTGAAACATTTATACTTTCAATTTAAATATTAATGCTTTTTATTCGAACTTAATGGCACATAATTTCAATCACGATTTTTACACTTTTAACCAACAATTTTTGCTTTTTATTTGAACACATTTTAACTTGAAACATTTCTTTTCATTAAAGATTGGAATGATCTCAACCAACAATGACTTAATGTATAATTACAATGGAATGTAATAGCAACATTTTTTATTCCATCTTGGAATTTCAGAAACAGACATAGAACCCCAGGCAGCTAACAAGTTGGAATGTTGAAGAAACATTTAAATAATACATTTCAATTTAAATACAATTAAAACTGTCAAAAAAGTAAATAACTAACTAACTAATATTATGACTAACACATTTCTATTGGGGCCCTTCTTAACTCAGAATGTCTAATTTGTTTCATCACTTCCGAAACTATTACAAGAACATATACTTTTCATTGAAACATCTATACTTTTCATTGTTACATTTATACTTTTCATTGAAACATCTAGATACTTTTCATTGTAACATTTATACTATTCATTATGACAATTTTCATTGTAACATTAATACTTTTCATTGTAACATCTATACTTTTCATTGTAACATTTATACTTTTCATTGAAACATCTAGATACTTTTCATTGAAACATCTATACTTTTCATTGGAACATTCATACTTTTCATTATGACAATTTTCATTGTACTAATTTTCATTGTAACATTTATACTTTTCATTGTAACATCTATCTATACTTTTCATTGTAACATTTATACTTTTCATTGTAACATCTATACTTTTCATTAAAACAATTTTCATTGTAACATTTATACTTTTCATTATAACAATTTTCATTGTACCATATACTTTGCATTGAAACATCTCTACTTATTTGTTTGAGACAATTGTTTGCCATCTTTTGAAATATGATAATTCCAGACATTAACTTAACTTGTTATCTCCTATTCTACCTGCAATGAATTGTGTTGTCCCATCCAATTAAAATGTGATGGATAACTCAATCAATCCAATTTGATTAAAGATAAGTTAATGTATCTAAATCCTTACCTTCATCATAAATAAATACTGTCTCATCTTTAATGCTGGTTCTTTTGGTTTGTGCTGAAAAATAAAAATAAATCAACAATCCAAATATCAAACCATTCTTTCATGACCAGAAAATAGCACTCCATAATTGAAACTAGAGGATAAGTTGTAAATGGCACAAAAAAATGATATGATTGTAGTATTTAAGGGATAAGTAGGCCATTTTTTGACCAATTAGTCTCAGAAACTGTAATCTATTAGCTGAGCTAATGAGTAATAGTGTTCAAAGCTCACTGTCAAATTTGAGCCTTCAAATCCATTTGTGTCCACCAGAATTATCTGCGTTTGAATGTTAAATTGACGGCGCATCATTTTAAGATACTCTGTGATATATAGACAAGACATATATAGAAAAGACATATATAGAAATAGTAAAATTCCTATTTTGAAATATTTTTATAGGAATTATGTGATCTTCGTACATTTCTAGTACTTCTGAAGACTATTTATATTTAATAAAGTCTAAAATCAACCAAAAATGGCACACATATCCCTTTAAATACAAATTTATCAGAAATATTATCTACAGTTACCAATGACCCTATTACAAACAGTTTATTATAACCAGATAACAAAGGGTTACAAAATTATCATTAAAAGAATTCATAAGAGGTTTTTTAAGTTTTTTATTTGGATGAGGGACACTAATAGCATCAATTTGAGCCATTCTAAATTTCAGTATGTAGTTCCTGCAATTCCACAAAAACTACGGGTTTTAGTGACTTTTTCAAAGTTTTGGTGGAATTGCAGAAACCAAAGACATCTGAATGAAATTTGGAATGGTGCAAATTGATGCAATTAGTGTCAATATAACAAAAATTAGAAAATCTCTTTACAATCCCTTTAACATAAAATAACAAATTCATTAAGCTTTTGGACACTGAGCATAAATGAGATGAAAGGTCAGATACCTTGAAACCCAAGGTAAACCATCTGCTTGTGTTGAAAGTTTTGATATACACATAACAAAAGGAAGGTTAATGGTCACAAGACTGTGTTCTCAATTATCAATCTAAGTCTGTTTATATCCATTGGAAATAGCAATACACTGTTTAATACTTCAAAATAGCTTTAAAACAATAGGACGTGATTGCATCAAGAACTGCTGTTTCTCTTCAAATGAAATTAGGAAGGCTAATTCGAACAGTGCACATATGAATTTTAATTAAGACAGGAATAGAAACGAATTCCATATGTCCTGGAATTAGATTTAGATCATAAATTAATGACTATGACACTCTAATTGTCTCAGTGGGAAGTCAACAATGATTCATTAAAATAAACAGAAATCAGATTTTGACAGATCGGTTTATTTTATGTGAAATCAAGGGAGGTAGAACCATGCGGAGTTGACATGATAATCAACTTATAGAACTCTTGGTTTTTAAACAATCAAATAGAATAAAATATAATAAACTGAAGAAAATAATTCCATATTCTAGGAAATAACTCCTCATATAGACCTTATTCACGTTTCGTTTTTGAGACACCGAAAGCGAGGTTCATAACGCAAGTTATGGCATCCATTGATAAGATGGCAACGCTATGAATGAACAGCCAATGTGACATCATTGAACATCCAATCAACAGGGAGAAAATGGGCTTAAACAGCCCTTTCTCAGAAATGTGTGATGGTAAAATTCATCTGAAAGTATCATTAAGTAGCTGAATCAATTCCTATTTTAATTATGTAAAATATGGTTATCAGTGGGATTAGAAATGAAATGAATGGAGTTTTACGTCCTACTTTTCTGCACTTGAGGTGATTTTACTGCAGTGATATAACATTACCATTGTTTGTTTGGGATTAGAAATGAAATGTTTCATGGTAGTGATTTTACTGCAGTGACATAACGTTAGCTTTGTTTGTTTGGGTTATTAGCCTCATTCTGGATTCAATATGGCCGATGCATGTATTATATCTATTGCAATGTTGAAAAGGTTATTTCATTATTTGTCTGCACTAATACTTTCATTTTAGATGGTGTCAAGGAAAATTTTCGAAAAATGAATGTTTTATGTATTTGTCAAACTTGGATACTGAAATATACATATAAAAATGCCTGTATTCCATCTTAACACTTTTCACAAATATAAAATAATTCTGTTTGTTATCTTGAGAACAACCAATCAGAAATGACCTTTTCTGGTTTATTAAAAGCTATTTACAGCAACATTGTCAAAAATAATGAGGACAAAATCATTGAAATTTAAATCATTAGACTTTCACCTGCTGGCAGAGATTAGAATTCATCACCACCATTTGTCAGACAGAACCAGACAATGATCGATGAAAGACAAAATGATGACTAATAAAATATTTTGTGATGGAAATCAGTTTTTAACACAGCACACATATTTTCATTAGATTTGTATTTGAGTTTTAGCTTTACACAAGCACATTTCACTGCAATAAGGCACATAATGCAAGGGCAATAACTCTGTAACCCTCTATCAATCACAAAAATAAAGCTCATCTGAGATCAAAGCAAAACACTAAACCTGATCAAACTGTAATCAATGCCCTTTTCAAAGGGATAGATGCGCCATTTTTTGGACCAATCATACATTAGTCTCAGAAACAGGAATCTTATAGCTAAGCCAGTAATACTGTTTACAGCTCACCTTTGAAATTTGAGCCTTCAAATCCATGTGCGACTAAAATTATCCGCATTTGAAAGTTTAAAAAGACAAAGACAAGTCTGTTTTAAGACACATCCATATATAGAGAAGACATCTATAGACATAGGCAAAGAAATTCCTAGTTTGAGATATATTTAAAGGAATTATGTGATTTTATGTACATTTCTAGTACTACAGAATACTATTTACATATATTCCAGACTAAAATCAACCCCCAGAATGGAGTACCTATCCCTTTAAGAACATTAACACTTGATATAAAATCTTCCATTAGACATTTTTTCGGACATCCTAATCATAGAAACTAAAAAATGTAGTTGATAATCATAGGTACATGTCCATGTAATGTAAAATATTGTATTTCATTTCCAAAATCACATTCAAAATTTTCCCATCTATTTCCTTCCATTTTAAATGGAACGTGGAACGTGGAAAACGTTCTGAACTCTGTTCCAACTTGTTTTATAGAACGCTTAACTGATTCCATAAATCCCGAATGTGCAGAACTCACCAATCGAGCATCCCCGTCTTTGAATGTATATAATATAACATATATTATATTTTTAGGTAAGCTTATACCACAAAAATGTGTAAGAAAAATAAGTCCATTGAACAAATTTAGGATTCAAATTCAAAATCACACCTGATCAATACAGCTATTTTTTACAGTACTTACCTTTCTTGGTGAAGATACAGATTGATACACTTCATAAGCTTGATCTAAATGTACTAGAGCATTATTAGCTCTTCTAGTTTCAATATAGATAAAACCTGTAATAAACAAATATACAGTAATATGTTATTATATTATAAATGGAAAAATGCATTATTTTGTTAAAAAAGAATCTATGATATGCATGAGTTTTATTGAGTATATATACTGCCTTTCGAAGGGTTAATGAAATAACAGCTATAATAAACATCACTTACCATGAACATTACAGGCATTCTGCAAGACATTTTCTGTGATCAATTTGGACATACACCATGATAATATAGGACCATCTTCTCTAGAAAAAAAAATTAGTCCACCAGAGTTACAGGTATGAACAGTCCACAAATGAGCTAACAAAATTTAAACTTTGATGTCATAATTTTTAATGTGATTATTTGTCAGGGCCTATAATGCCATCTATGCTCAAACCTTGTGACAGGATATTTTTGGTAAGCCAGACTTCAAAGACATGGGTACAAAAAAAGAGGCAGTCTGATTTAAAGGGGGGTGGGGGGATCCTAAATTAGGCAGCTGTGGAAGCACTGAAAGTGTAATGTAGTGTCTGAGAAGCTTCTCCTCCAAAACCTTATTTCAAAAATAAAATTGATTTCATGCATTCTGACACATATTTTGGGGAAAAGACATACAAAAAATTAACTTACTCCATCTGTTCATGATATGTATGATAGGCTAATATTATTAAATAATTAATAAACTGTCTCTGTAATATCTTCTCAAAAGGATTGTGAAGCTCATAAGTTGCTTTATGGTAATCTGAAAAAGAGTTGAGAAATTTAAAACCAAAGGAAACTATGGAGTGATCTTTAACTCGTTTGGTTTATAAATATTGGTTATTATTAACACTGATTGATAATAATAATATTATTTTACATGGGTCAGAATTAGGCCCAATACACACAGACATGGTCCTGTCTAATATTCAGCCCATAGGGTCAATATATAATGCAGTAGAGGACATTGTTGTTGGTAACTACAAATGTCATAGGGTTAAATTGGTTCAATATCTGTAGTTACGTCATTTATATTTTCCAAATCATTTCATCTAATGAAAGCTCGTAGAATAAACTATCTTAGTCACTTATTTCTTTCATTATGTGTACAGCTTCAGTTAATTGTCCATTCAAAGTTAGCTGCTCTGACCTTCATCAGTGACAGAGGGAATCTGAATAATTGAACCCTGGACCTTCACTCCTCCAGGTAACGAAACAAGATTGCAGTATCAAAAGATAAACTTACTCTTTCCAATGATTCTGTCCATATCCATTAAAGTCAACTCAAAATGATGTAATTGGCAATCTTTTAAAAATCTCCAGAATTGCATTTTATTCATAATATAGATATTATCTAGACTTTCATCATGACCTAGATTACTGTAGAAGGTGTAGATCTTCTTTATACTGGTTATATATCTCATTATAACAAACATCACCTAAAATATAAACATACTGGTTATATATCTCATTGTAACAAACATAACCTAAAATATAAACATACTGGTTATATATCTCATTGTAACAAACATCACCTAAAATATAAACATACTGGTTATATATCTCATTGTAACAAACATAACCTAAAATATAAACATACTGGTTATATATCTCATTGTAACAAACATAACCTAAAAAATAAACATACTGGTTATATATCTCATTATAACAAACATAACCTAAAAAATAGAAACATAACACTGGTTATATATCTCATTATAACAAACATAACCAGAAAATAGAAACATTACATATACTGGTTTTATATCTCATTGTAACAAACACAACCTAAAAAATAAACATACTGGTTATATATCTCATTATAACAAACACAACCTAAAAAATAAACATACTGGTTATATATCTCATTATAACAAACACAACCTAAAAAATAAACATACTGGTTATATATCTCATTATAACAAACATAACCTAAAAAATAGAAACATAACATATACTGGTTATATATCTCATTGTAACATACATCACCTAAAAAATACAAACATAATGTATACTGGTTATATATCTCATTATAACAAACATAACCTAAAATATAGAAACATTACGTATACTGGTTATATATCTCATTATAACAAACATAACCAGAAAAAAGAAACATTACGTATACTGGTTATATATCTCATTGTAACAAACACAACCTAAAAAATAAACATACTGGTTATATATCTCATTATAACAAACATATCCTAAAAAATAGAAACATAACATATACTGGTATAACCTAAAAAATAGAAACATTATGTATACTGGTTATATATCTCATTGTAACATACATAACCTAACAAATAAAAACATTACGTATATTGGTTTTATATCTCATTGTAACAAACACAATCTAAAAAATAAACATACTGGTTATATATCTCATTATAACAAACATAACCTAAAAAATAGAAACATAACATATACTGGTTATATATCTCATTGTAACATACATCACCTAAAAAATGGAAACATTATGTATACTGGTTATATATCTCATTGTAACAAACATAACCAGAAAATAGAAACATTACATATACTGGTTATATATCTCATTATAACAAACATAACCTAAAATATAGAAACATTACGTATACTTGTTTATATATCTCATTATAACAAACATAACCAGAAAATAGAAACATTACGTATACTGGTTATATATCTCATTGTAACAAACACAACCTAAAAAATAAACATACTGGTTATATATAACATTATAACAAACATAACCTAAAAAATAGAAACATAACATATACTGGTTATATATCTCATTGTAACATACATCACCTAAAAAATACAAACATTATGTATACTGGTTATATATCTCATTATAACAAACATAACCTAAAATATAGAAACATTACGTATACTGGTTATATATCTCATTATAACAAACATAACCAGAAAAAAGAAACATTACGTATACTGGTTATATATCTCATTGTAACAAACACAACCTAAAAAATAAACATACTGGTTATATATCTCATTATAACAAACATATCCTAAAAAATAGAAACATAACATATACTGGTATAACCTAAAAAATAGAAACATTATGTATACTGGTTATATATCTCATTGTAACATACATAACCTAACAAATAGAAACATTACGTATATTGGTTTTATATCTCATTGTAACAAACACAATCTAAAAAATAAACATACTGGTTTTATATCTCATTATAACAAACATAACCTAAAAAATAGAAACATAACATATACTGGTTATATATCTCATTGTAACATACATCACCTAAAAAATGGAAACATTATGTATACTGGTTATATATCTCATTGTAACAAACATAACCTAAAATATAGAAACATTACGTATACTTGTTTATATATCTCATTATAACAAACATAACCAGAAAATAGAAACATTACGTATACTGGTTATATATCTCATTGTAACAAACACAACCTAAAAAATAAACATACTGATTATATATAACATTATAACAAACATAACCTAAAAAATAGAAACATAACATATACTGGTTATATATCTCATTGTAACATACATCAACTAAAAAATAGAAACATTATGTATACTGGTTATATATCTCATTATAACAAACATAAC